TTTGAGCCATATTTCAAATTATTATTATAAATAACAAACTTAGCATCTTAAAGTGTATATATAGGTCAGTAGTGTTTAGTGCATTCACACTGCAGTGCCGTTAGTCTGCAGCAGAATTCACCTTCATTCACCTCACAAGATGTAAAGTGTACATCAAGTAACTCCCAGCCACTGTCAGGTCGTCCCGCCCTACCCTACCCTTGGCATTCTCGCTCTATAGTAATCACCATTGTTTCCTGTTTCTGAATATGAGTACCCTAAGTGCCTGGTACGGATGCAATCTCAACATGTGGGTTTTTTTTTTTCAGGGATGGGATGGGGACTGACTTATTTCATGTAGCAAAATACCGTCAAGGTTTAGCTATTATGTATCATGTATTTCCTTTGTAAAGCCAAATAGTATTCTAGTACTTGTGTGTCCTTTACCTTATCTATTTTCTCAGCCGTGGATACCTCGGTGGTTTCCACCTTTGAGCTCCTGACTATTGCTGTGAACATGTATATAGATATCCCTGGGACCCCGCTTTCAGTTTTAGTGTATACCCAGTAGTCTGTGAAGTACAGTAATTCTATTTTGATTCTGAGGCACTGCTACACTTTCTGTAGCAGCCACACTATTTTATATTCCTCTCAGTAGCACATGAGGATTATTATAACTGTCCCCTGGCCTTGTCAGTTTAGTTCCTATTCTTTTTTAGTGGCCATTGATGTGTGTGAAGTCGATCAGTGGCTGGCTCTGTTTGGCATTTCCCTGACTAGGGAAGTTACCTGTTTTATATGCTTGTCAGCCTTTATATATTGTTTGAAGAAATCTTTTTAGATCCTTTGCCTATTAACAGTGGGTTGTTGACCCTGGTTGAGTTTTTGGTAGTCATATTCACAAAAGTACTACCCGACCCAGTGGAGCTAATTATATAGAGCTTGCTTTGGGGGTTTTAGTTGTAGCTTTTAGCTTTGCCTTTTGATTGACTTTGAGTTCATCTTTGTGTGTGATGTAAATTAAGGGTTTGACTTTCCATTCTTTGAATGTAGATAATTTAGCTTTCCACATTGCCCTTGGTGGGAAAACATCCTGCCATACATATAGGGTAGGGCTGTTTCTAAGCCCCAGTCTCTCTTGGCTTCTGTCTTCACGCCAGTGCCACTCTTGACTACTGGAATATTATAATAAAATTTCAAATCAGAAGATGAGTCCATCTTTGTTCTTTTTCAAGATTATTATTTTGGGTATATGGAATCCTTTGAGAGTCTATATTTCAGGATGGATTTTCCCCCCATCTCTTGAAAAAAAATGCTATTGGCATTTGAATAGGAAATGCATTTAACTTCCGGGACACCTGGATGCACTGACATCTGAGCATGATGAACTCCTCCAGTCCACAAGATACTTTTCATTTATTGGTGTCTAATCACAGCAAAAATGTAAAGTTTTCAGTGTATTACATTTTCTCCTTTTTGATTGTTTATTCTTAAGCATTTTGTTCTTTGATGTTAGAGTTTTGTCAATTTTTTTTCTTTAACATTTATTGGGCGGTGGGGTGTGTGTGTGTGTGTGTGTGTGTGTGTGTGTGTGTGTGTGTGTGTGCATGCAATAATAGCACACATGTAGAGGTCAGAGGGCAAGCCGTGGGAGTCAGATCTCCTTTCACCACATGTGTCCCCGAGGCAAATTCAGGCCATTGTGCTTGGTGACAAGCACATACACTCACTGAGCCATCTTTTTGGTCCAGTTTTCTCAATTTCCTTAACAGGTGTTTCACTGGGTGTTGAGCTTTAAACAGTTACTTTTCATTATTAAATATAGCCAGTACAGAGGAGAGGAGGTGAGATGCTTTTGTCATCAGATGACTATAAAGTCATCGTGTACCCCTCATCTTGACCCCTATCATGTTGATCAGATATCGTGGTGGCTGATGTCAACTTGACACAAGCTAGAGTCATCTGAAAGGAAGGAGCCTCAACTGAGAAAAAGCCCCCATAAGATTCAGCTATAGGACATTTTCTTAATTAGTGATTAATGGAGGAGGGCCCAGCCCATTGTGGGTGGAGCCATCCCTGGGCTGGTGGTCCTGGGTTCTTATAAGAAAGCAGCTGAGCAAGCCATGATGAGCAAGCCAGTAAGCAGCACTCCGCCATGGCCTCTGCATCAGCTCCTGCCTCCAGGTTCCTGCCCTGGCTACAGAAATGTAAGCGAAATAAACTGTTTCCTCTCCCACTTTGCTTTTGGTCATGGTGTTTCATCACCACCCCAGGAGAAACTCACTGTGCTCCCAGGTTTGCCCTCTGACTTGGTGAATCTGGCCTCTGCTGTTGCATCTAAAATAACCGACGGTTACAAGGAAAGAAAGGCAACATATTGCAGACAAGAAGAATTCAACACTATAGATTCACCATTTATTAAGTGTGTGTGCGCGCACACACGTGTATTCCCAGGTGAGTGCATGTTCACATGTAGAGACCAGAGGGAGTTCGCCTTTACCTTGTGGATTCCAGGGATCAAACTCAGTGCCAGGCTTCGTGAGAAGTGCTTTTACTGTTGAGCCATCTTGGCCCGTCATCCAGTTAACTTCTCAGTAGCTCCTTTACTGCAAGAATGACACTTGCCCTTACAAATGCAAAGGTAAATGGCAAGACTGACTGAATACACATGATATAGTCTTAAAAAAGTAAGTAAGGTTTTTTGTTTGTTTGTTTAATTCGGAGCTGAGGACCGAACCCAGGGCCTTGCTCTTGCTAGGCCAGCGCTCTACCACTGAGCTAAATTCCCAGCCCCAAATGATTTGTCTTTATTTTATGTTCATTGGTGTTTTGGCTGCAGGTATGTCTGGGTGAGGGTGCTGGATTTGTAGTGGGTAGCCATCCCAGCTTTGACCTGGAAGTTCCAACCCCCATTGAGGCTTTGGTAACTGTCACGCCTACAAGGCGGGGCCAAGGGAGGACCCTGAAGACCCGAGATCCGGATGTGCCTGCTCTCTTGGTTCTTGGTTCCTGGACCCTGGACGCTGGAGGTAAACCGAGCAGAGTTCTCCAGAGAACACCGCCAGACTGCGCTACACCTTTCCCAGACCGTTACCTATTCCTTCACTTGTGAGTTACCCCACAAAGTAAACCTCCCTTTTAACTACGTGGAGTGGCCTTAATAATTTCACCAATATCTGGCGCTCACGTGAGGCAAATTCCAAAGGCCTGGGTGGCTCCCACCCTCAGCTTCCTCCCCGGCTGGCTGGCGGGCACTGAAGCTGCAGGGTACCGCCTGCAGAGCTCCGGAAAACCAGGAAAAACCTACACGGTTCCATTGCTAAAAAGGAGCTAATCCGGTCTCAGTTCCGCAAGTTTAGCCCCCAGACCAGCCAAACCACTGTGAGTGAGGCGTTCCTCCTCCTCCGTGAACGCCGGCTCCCCCCAGCCCGAGGTTTCCACAGGTTCACCTAGTTAAAATAGACAAGGCACTGTCCCCAGTGGCGGCGGCAGCGGTGGCAGCATCCTACGGAGGCACAGAGAGGGCTTGGAGTCCAGCCTGCTGGCAGACCTATTGTCTGCAGAGGCAGAGAGGGGCTTAGAGTGGCCTGGAACTCTCCAGTCCCTGAAGCTCCAGGGAGTCACCAAAACAACTGCCTACCACCGCTTCCTGCCTGTGCTCACTCTGAGGCCAGCCAAGGCATTCAACAAGACCTGCTTTGGAGCTCTACCAACGCCGCCTGCTGGCTGAAAAGCGCTACTACACCCCCAAAACCACGGAAAGGTAAGATAGGCAAACTAGCGTCTTATCAAGTAAAAGTACTTGATAATTTTACACCTTAAAATTGACTAACAAATTTTGAGTAATTCTTGTAATATGGCTGACAACATTACCTCACAAGAATTTAAAAACCTTTTTGCCTGTATGATGAATGACATTTTCCTGGAAATATATGACCTTCCTAAGGCATATCTGGCCTGTACCATTTTGGCATTCATCATAATAATTCACACAGTGTTCAAA